GAAATGTGACATCAACTGAGCAATTTTTGTGAAAGATTGAAAGTTATGTGCTTCCAAGTGAGAAGGGTGTTCAGGAAACCAAAGAATGTTTATGTTCGACCTCTCTTGATTTCGTTTGGTTTCAGAATGTTCCATGTCAATTTTTCGCTATAGTATTTGATGCGGGGTCAACGGGTACTCGGCTACACTTGTACAGATATGCTCACAATTCAGACTTGAGAGGAATTCCATTCAGAGTAGAAGAGGAAATATTTCGAGAAGTAGGTTGTATCATATCATTTACGAAAGTATCTGACCTCTGCCAGTATGCCTTTTTTCTAAGGTTTATGGTTTACAACTATTCATTCCAGTGACCCAAAAAAGTCTGCAAAAATATTTAGGTAAAGCCGGGTCTGTCCTCATTCAGTGACAACCCCGCCGAAGCGGCCAAATCAATTCGGACGCTACTGCTGACCGCTCAAGCAACTGTCCCCACATATATGTGGGAGAAGACTCCCGTAACCCTAAGGGCTACAGCTGGCCTTCGACTTCTTCCTGGAGACCTAGCTGATGAGATCCTTGATGCGGTAAGTTTTTGATCTAGGTATCTCTTTGTTGTTAAATTAATTACTAGTTGGTTCATGTAACGGCAAACTGCATCGTCACATCTTAAAAGGACAATCTTTCTATGCAAATTTGTAAGGATAGACAGTAATGCATCTGGTCATAGAGGAATAATTCTGCTAATAAATTTGGTTTCATTGTCTATTTATTAGGAGTAATATATAGTTTGTAATGTTTTCTGGATCAAAAGACATGGTATTTCGCGTTTTATTTAGCAGGTTATGTTTGTCGCAAATTTTGATCATAGCTACTACCAGCAAAGCTATATTTGAGGCTGTTCTTTTGTTAAATATTCTAATTTTACCAAATACGGTTTTTATGCTGCTACGATGCCAATCTTTACGTAGAAAGTTAAGATACGAGACAGTTGATTAAGAATGAATATTTGCTTATATAAGATAGCCTAACATTCGAGTTATTTTAGTTTACCCTTAAAGTTGAGAAGTTACTCTATGGCTACGGGCCAAAGGTAGAAGAAGTTATGGTGGGCGTATTAACCCTAAGATGTATATCAAGGTTTGAATGCTACAAAGGAAATCATTTTTACTCTCGCACTACAGCTGAAACTACAACTAAATTGAAAATCTAGATCTAACATGCGAAAACTCTCTAGGCTGAAAACCCATTTGATCTTCTTGAGGAGCGCGGAAAAATCGCTTATTTTATCTAAACCTAAATAAAAATAGTTGCAAATCCCGTTCATTTAGCTAAAGAACTACCGCAAATGGAAATCACAAAATCGCATCTTTGCTTGTATAGTATCCTTTTGAAAATTAAAGACTGTTTTTTCATATTTGTCAGCAAAAAACGAAATATTTGGAGTTTTCGTAAAAACATTTGTATAAGGCCGGAGTGTGTTTAGTTTTGATATATGTTTCAAAACGATAAAACTTCTTAATGGTTCAGGTAGAAGACGAAATCCTCAACAGCGGATTTTTCGTCATCCCAGAGGCAGTGAGTATTATGAGCGGTTCTGATGAGGGGATGTACAGCTGGTTCACCTTAAATCTTTTACTAAATACACTTTATCCCGGTCAGCTTCTTCTTATATTTATTCTTTCTTTTGAAGTCAACTTCTGCTTCTTTTACTTCTAATTTCCTTAAAGCTATAGATAATGCTGCTCATCCGTATTCACCTGAACCTTCAAAAAGCGTTGCTGCGTTCGACTTGGGGGGCGGCTCAACACAACTTACTTTTTGGCCTGAGGATGTGCGCATGTTTGATGTTTATAAGGATTACGAAAGGGACATAAATTTTTTTGGACATCGCATGCGGTTGTTTACGCACAGGTTGGTGGCCGCATCTCGATTTAGAAGCTTGTTAAAATTTTATTTAGTGTTTGGTATTTTCTCGCATTAGTTTAGCTTTCTTGGCAATGGACTTATTGCTGCCCGCCTGAATATGCTTCTTGATCCTTCAAAAGATGAGCATGAAAGTAAAAATCTCAATTCGTCATGTTTTCCTCCTGATTTTGAAGTTCATGATTGGGAATATGCTCTCAAAAAGTGGACTATAAGGTACGAATGTTGTTTGGAATAAGTCATAACATTAGTCATCATTCAACACGTATGAAAATTCGTTTATAAGATTTGAGTTTCTTAGAGGAACAGAGAATTATTCGTTCAAATCTTGCTACGACTCAGCCCGACAGTTCGTCAACATTAGCAATATTATGAAACTTCCAAGTAAGTGTTTCTTTAAGAAGGAATGAGCGCATTCAAAGCACGGGAGAATTTATTCCATCAAAGCATCTCCCCGTTTTATTGCAGCCCTTCACAATAAGATGATTTACCTGTTTTCGTACTACTACGATCGCGGGTTAAATGCTGGTTTGGTAAAGGAAAATGTTGGAGGTGCAATAAAACTAGCGGATTATAGGAAAGCAGCCGAAAAAGGCTAGTACTTCATTAGTTTTTTTCTAGTTTCCTTTCATTCTTTGAAGTAGGACTCTCTCGTTATTCTTTTGTTTATAAACCTTCTTCATTCAGCTTGTTCGCGATCGGCGGGCCAACTTCAGGGCCCTCATTGGATGCCCTGGCAATGTCAAGATTTAACGTATATCTACAGTTTGCTTCATGATGGCTTTGGCTTTCTGGAGTCGCAACCATTATTTGTGAGTTATTGGATTCTTTAGAATTAGGAAGTTTCTTGTTTGAGTTATTCATAGGGAAGTGTAACTTGTTTGAATCACCCAACTAGGCATTGTCTCAAATCAGGAAATTGATCTATGAACAAGTTCGATTTGTCTCTCTGCCTTTACATGTACTACGCGTACGTCTCCTTTTTTGGACACTGAGTGCTAGGTATCTGAAATATAGTAAAAAACCGAAAGTACGTTATCGTACTTTTCGATTGGGCAGGTAACCGTTCTGCATCGAAACTTAAAAGTTGAGACCGATACACCTCCTAGGTAATCGTCTTGAACGCATCTTCATCATTTTTGATTGTTCTAAAATACATTTTGCTCATAACCTTCATTATCTTTTTGGACTTTTTATGATAGGAAAAGGCACCCTGTTGGTAAGGACTCCAAGTGTGTTTATGCCTATAGTCAGTGCGAGAACCAGAGCTCATTCAGAATAAACAAGAATCACATGTTTTCCAATTCAAAAAAATTGCTACATTTTTATTTGCGTTTAGCTCAATTAGCCAGCAAGATGAGAAGCTTTCATGCTACCAAGCTCGCACGAGTTTGTGCAAATTTGAAGAAGTTGAACCTTTATCTCAATTACTGAACTTGAAAACGTTTTCATTTTGTCTCTTGTCGCCGACTTTAAGTTGCTTGCCGATTTACAGCCCTTCCATTGGAAGCATTGGGAAGGCGCAAAAATTGTTGGTCATAAAGCACAATTAAAAGTCATCTGCCTACCAACCTTTGCGCTTTTATACTTACTGTTCACAGATTTTTAGAACACATCAACGCTTTGAGAAGAGGGACCAATTTAAGGTCCTGTCATGGCCCAGTCAAGTTAATTCTCTTAAATATCAAAATTTTATTTTTTAGTGTTAATTCTTATGATACAAGCTTTAGTGAAAGCGCAATAATTTCCTTATGTGACGTCTATAAAGAAAAACGTGTTCAAGTTGGGTGCTAGGTGCGGTTTTAACATGAGTTTACATCCCAATATTCCTACAAGTACGGTGTCGTATACATTTTGGAGCGATTAAGCTGCTTATTTTCAGTTAGCAAAGAAACTCAGAGGAATGGAAGTAGCGTGGGGTCAGGGATTATCCTATACTTTGGTGCACGAATTCCACAAAACACAGATGTCAGCTTTCCTTGAACGAGCCAACGGTACAGTAGCCGATCAAATCATGTCTTATATTTATTCTAGCACCAATACAGTATTGTCTTACTTTAAAATCATATCGTAAAGTTAGAAATGCATTTCACGAAACGCATCATTTCTATTTGCCGTTTTGTTGATGCTTTCAATAGGTTTAAGGTTGCTCTGTTGCCATATCATCTAGTCTACTGGTCATTTCTATGCCTTGTTTTAGAATATTCTAGCAACTTTTTTTCCCACTTGTGGCTATACCTTATTGTCAGCTGTGATCTGAATCTTACAGTGTGTTAGTTTCACTTAAACACATATCAACTTGTATTGAGAAAAAACGGGATCGATTGTATATTTATTATGATGAGGTAATAAAAGAAACTGCAACGAACTGCTTATGAACTCTGAGCTCGCAAATTCTTCTAGGATATTGACAATGAATATTAATGTTGATCAGGTGGCATTGATCCTGAATCTGGGAAAGGCTACGAAAGATTGGTTACATAGAAAAGAACTGATGATTGTATGGTACTATTACCCGTAAGAAATAGAATTGCTATACAGTTCGAAAGTTAGGCGAGTCTGTCGACTACCCGAAACGAGCGAGTTGCGCGTGGTTCAAATTATGACTTGAGAATTTGGAGAAGATGAGATTTGTCTTTCACAATTGTGGTTCAAACATTCTATGATATGAGGATCATCGCTGCGATTTGACGCTTTCAATTACAATTATGCGCTTAAATTGCGAGAAAGACTACAGGAGACTTTCTTATGGCTTCTGGAAGGCATAAAGTGTCTCGTATAAATTGAGGTTATCTCCGTATGTGCTCATAAGTTTTGATGCATTTGGCCACTTGCTGTAATCAGCGCAGTATTTGATGCGCATCAGCTGATAGTTGTGCACCTTCTTCTCATTTCGCCAGATAGGGCAAAGCCTAAAAAGTGGGACAGTTTAACGAAGAGGTTTCTTGATTTATTAAGTAAAACAATCGATATACAAATCACGCGAGAGATCTGTTATTATACTGTTACTGAATAACGCTTGCTTAAGGTGATTCATTTGGACCCTAGAGAATGTAGAAAATATTGACATTTTAAGGAAATTTTTGAAATGTCCAT